GGGGGGGGTTCAATAGTCTTGTAAATGTTGTAGGCTACCAAGTTTTTGCTTTCACTCCCTACAATCTGGCCTGTCTTCCTCACACTCAAAGGGGTTTAGGCCAGTGGATTCAATGGAACAAAAGAATAGAACAGGGCCTCTGGAATTTTGCTCACTATTTAAAAAAGATTAGAGAAATCATCATCATCCATGCCTTGTCCCAACTATATGGGGTTGGCTACATCAATCCTGTTTCACCAATCTGTTCTATTTAAAGCCAAATCCACTGTAAAAAAAAAAGATTAGGAAATCATGGTTTTAATTTGGCTCAGATAAGTGTGATCCCAAAGAGTGATGAACTGCAGAAACCTGAAAATCACTGAAACAACCGAGTCCTAGGAGCCAGCAACTAGAGAGTCTATTAGGAGTCAACACCTAATAGACTGCACTAAATCAAAGAAGCAAACCTGCTCATAAAGTGTATTTCCCTCACTAATTCCCTTACAAAAGTTTCTACCCTATTTATAGGTTCATAGGGTAAGATATGCTTACTACAACAGAAAAATTTACATGTAAGTAAAAAAAAAAGAACAATTGCTGATCCAAAAAAAAAAGAAACAAAATAATTGTAAGACCTTCTAAATCCTTAAGGCACAGCCCTGTACTGTAGCCCACACGATACCCTTTGTAACTAATTGGGCTGATGTGGCATGACTAAATTGATGCACATTTCAGACGACCAAAAATTCTTGTTGTGACTCTCAGAAAAAGGCTCAAATAAAAAGACAAAAAAGAAATGAATAAATTAATATCAGAAGCTTCCTCAGTTATAGAATGTGCCAAAATCAGCTACAAATACCCCTAAAAGGTAGGCAGAAAAGACTGATACCCAGATATTCAGGAATGGTAGAACTCAACACACCTAGAGAGGAGCCATTCTTGGGATCACCTCCAGAAACCTTAGCTCAGTTCAGCCCTCACTTTCACAAGGATCTGATTTTACCCCTTCTGGAGAGTGGCCACTAGTTGTCCGCCTTAGACCCTTCTGCCCCCTCCGAGAACCCCCAATTTGGTAATGTTTTTCATTCATTCATCCTAATAAAATGTCTTCTTAAAAAGCAAATAAAACTATAAAATCATTATTTTTTGTGTGAAAACTAAGAATTTAAGACCTAACGTGGGCTTGTTTGGACTTGCCTCGAGGGGCGTGGCACAAAACTGGCTCGTAGAATCAGGAATGTAATATGTTTTACATTACATTAGCTATGTGAAGTACTGCAATTGAGTGAAAAAAGAAATTAGAGGTTTTATATGCTTGAAAATGTTTTATATGTTTGATTTTATTTTTAAATTCTCATTTGAATAYGSTTTRCATSTTATGTTTATGTATTTKAATTTTAGATAATAGGTTTTTTAAAACATTATTTTAAAACTTTAGTTTATATTTTTTATTAATATTATGTTTAATATTTTATTTTTGAATTTTTTGGCTTATTTATTTATTTTTTAGCATTTTTTTATTTTTGCGCCTTGCATCAAAAAGGTGTGCGCCTCGCCTTGCGCGTTGCGCTTTTAAAACACTGCTATGCTCCATTGGGTTCTCACTTCTGTTTGGGTTTTCTTCAAAATTGTATATTCTTGTAAATTTTAATCAATGAAAAGCTTCTGTTACCGACTCAAAAGAAAAAAATATATATATTTTGGGTATCTTAGCCTTTTCTTACTATCCAAAAAGATTGTCCATGCTTTCTCCTAATGTTTCTTTAGACCTAAAGATTTACAATACAGTACAAATTTTGTCCATTCCATCTTGGGTCATATCTCCATTAATATGTTCATGTTAAGTAATTTTCACTATGTCAAATCACCTCATTTTTAGCCTTTGACTCCTCCTTTTGAGCCTTTTTAAGCTGAACCATTTGTAACTCCTTTAACTAATGCTGTCAAAAGTTTACACCATACCCACACAGGACTAGGCATCTTAGTCAACTCTCTCCTAATTTTGGCATCACTTAGAACTACTGTAGATTTCCTCATTTTCTCTCACCTTTTATTATATCTTTCTATGTTTTTCTACACATTATTTCAACATCCTCATCTTTGCAATGTTCCATTATCAAGAAAATGGAGGGTTGGATTCATGCTTGGCTTCTAAGAAAAGTGAAACAATAGATACAAAGTCTTCAAGTTAACAAAATGTCCCGCTAGAGCAGGTAAATTGTCAAGAGGAAAATTTTCAGAGGGATTGAGTTATAAATGAAGTAAAGCATTAGTACAGGACACAATTTAATCAACTTTTTATAAGCATAACTTCAATTTGTTGTTTGATGAAAAGTTTTCTCATGAAAAAATTGTCATGGTTAAACTTTATCTTCACAAATAGATGTCTGATCGATGGCTTTCCAAATGAAAATATCTCCCCCTACGGCCAAAATTAATTTTTGTAGTCAGAACCGTTAGTTGAGTGCAGAGAACTATTCTTTCACGTTTTGTTAAAAAGGGAACTTGAACTACTTTTCTTTTCTTTTTTGTCAAAAACCTGAACTACCATGGTTTACTAAAAATCAAACAATTATTAATTTCCAAGTCAATTCACATCTGTTCTTTTTTATCACTTGATCAGTTTAATTGTTTCAACTGTTGTCTTAACAACTCTAATAGAAACCTCAACAAGTAGAAAAGCCAATTCAACTCACCGACTTAAAATTCACAAAGTAATAGTTATCGAGCAGAACTGCGAGATACAACATGTATCCCGAAACATAGCCATCTCTCAATGAAAAAGAAAAATCTGAAAATTTAAGCACCGCCTAAGGCAACAACGCCCGACTCCAACAAACTCCGTTCTAAAACAGCCATTTTTCTAAAATAAATAAATGAACCCCTTGCATGCAATCTCGGCAAAGAAACAATGTAGTCCAGAACCAAAAACCACCATCCTACCAAGAGGAACAAGCAGAAGAAAAGTTTCGATTTTTCCATCGAGCATTTGAACACTGCGAAACGAAAGCGAATGCATGCAGAGTGCAGAGACAATTATGAAACCCTAAAAGAGAAACAAAAAAAGTCGAATATTATGAGAAGAATGACTGTTCTTCATCACCTGAGGAGATGAGTTGTCGTCGTTGGGACGGAGAGGGTCGACGGAAAGTACAACCTTCGCGAGGTGGCGAGTCGAGTCGGAGGGAGCGTGAGATTGCCATGACCGAGACACCATGGTGGGGCACTTCATCAACCAAACCGATCGGTCCGCCCTGCCAGTCTCCAGCTCCGCTTTGCTGCATTGGTCGTCCATGCCTCCTCCTCGAGCGAGGCAGAGAGGCAGAGAGGCAGAGAGGCAGCGAGAGAGAGAACTCAAGAAAACCGTTTTTCGATTTTTCTGATTTGGCCTTATAACGAACCAACCCCCATTAAAAATATAGGATACGCCTCAGCAGTGCTGCCCCACTCCTCCCACTGTCCCGCCCATGAAACGAAACGTACATACAGATAGATACAGGATACATGAGATGATGATAAAGTGGAGCTTTCGTACAAGGGGCTCACGGTCACGGTGTTCAGCGGGAGACTGGATCTGCTCCTTACACCAGGCGCCTCACAAGCACATCCTATCATGCATTGAGAACATCTCCCGTATTTATTAGTTATTATTTATGGGAGATATTCCCAATACATGGTGGATGTGCCTATGAAACGCCCGTTTGTAAGGAGCAGATCCGTCAGATTTAGAGGCCTCTCCAACCTTAGCGACATGGTGATTGGTGGGGTCCAATACCTGACTCACATTAGTCAAGTTCCAAAGTATTCTACTTGATTTTCCATTCTAATTGAGCCTATTATAGCGTGGGTGATATGGGTGCAACTTGATGAGGATGCACACTATTATAAAACCTTGCACACCATGGAAGCCGTGACGCCCTTTTTTTTTTGTTAGTGCTGATGTAAGGGTATCTGCCGACCTTCAGATATTGGCATATGGTCTCGGTCGGGCTGGAATCATCCCGGCCATCTCACGGAATCTAACATGTGGCATTAGCCGGAAACACCCTAACCATCCATCACCAACTGCCCCCACCTCTCTCAACCACTCTTCCTCTTAAGCAACTTTGACAATAAAAAGGGGCTCCTACATTTAGATAAATATACTGGAACTCAAAGTTCTAAGTCTCATCTCTTGCTTGGTCTAACCCCTTAAAGCTTTCTGCTAATTTCATCATTGAAGCCTTCGCCCCTAAGATAATTCTCGGGGCCTTTAACATCTTTTTTCTTTCTCTCAGTAGATTGGACCCATCGGCCTCGGATGCTAGAAATTACATTGCTGCCCTTGACTCCATATTTAGCGGTAACAGTTGGCGCCATCTGTCTTCAAAACTTTCCCTTAAGAAAAAACAAACCTAATTTAATCAACTAGTGTCCTTGAAATGGATAACAAGCAAGACCCCGTCCCTAATGTCCGAAACTTAGTCATGATTGACCAGTTCGAACTGGTCCTGAATAGGCTGGACAACTTGGCCCAACGATTGGACAACATAGGGCATCTGGCAAGAAGCTACCCACAGGGTGGCTGCCTCGTTGGAAGCCATGGACAACACAATGGGCGATCCGCCCGTACCCCGCTAAGCCAGTGCTTGGGCAACTCAGAGAAAGTCGATCCCTCAGAGTCAAATAGCAGCAATCGACGGGCTAGCAAACCCCGTTCCAAGACCCCTTGGCTCCCTAGCCAAGGGGCCGGTCCCATGGGGTCCTACGTCGAGCACAAGAACCTTGATCGTCAACACAATCACGCGACAACCAGTTGGGTCGATAGTAGGCGCTTGGGCCACTACAGTCCCCCTCCAAGGGCGGGAGGTCAGCACCACGCCTCTTCCCCACCAGTTTTTGACCTTCCCGACCTCCTCAACGACCATCGTACCCACAAGGCTCAGGACGTGTCGGCGTCTGAGCATTTCGAGAATGGGCCCGACCCATCGTGCATAACAAAGAACTAGGACTAGGCCGAAGCGACGATGCCATATGTTGAATACTGCCTTGGAGATATTCAAGCACAAATTGGTGCCCTTCAAGATCAACTTCAGCAAGCGAAGGAGGGCCGAAAGTGACGCCTCCACCAATTGTCTGGCCTCTTCCAACCGAATGGAGGCATTCATAGATTCCATCCTCGACCTATTGGAAGGTGTTTGAGAGAAAGCCCAAATCAAGGTTGCGGCATGCCGACAAAGAATTGTAAGATACTACAAATCCCAAGTCAGAGAGCGTCACTTCAAGGAAGGCGACATCGTCCTCAAAAAAGTCATGGTTCCTGAGCCCGTCGTCGAAAAGTTTGGCCCAAACTAGGAAGGACCCTACAGAATCAAGCAAGTAGTAAGACCTGACACCTTTTGGCTAGAGTATATGAGTGGAAGACCGGTGCCTCACACCTAGAACTCTAAGAACCTCCAAATGTACTATCAATATAGTTGTAAATACCTTGTATAGGTTTCCCTACCTTTTCCTTCAAACCAAACACAACATTAGTGGAAAATCGTAAATGAAAAGTGCAAGTTCCTCTCACCTCGGATCTTTCTTTGTGTAAATGTTCTCGTCCCCTCCAACTGCTAGGACCCCTCGGCCAACCGACCGCAGCATATAACCTTTTTTAAGGTTATGCACTCAAACCAGGTGTTGGCCCCAAGGCACACGACACTTTGCGAGTCATACGCCTAGTTGTCTTTTGACCTTCTGTGACTAAGGCAAGAATTTCTAGGCCAGGACCTCGGTCTTGGCCTCGGCCTCAAAGACCCTTAAAGAAGCAAGTCTAGCCGATGTCAGCCAATTATTTAATAAAAAACACGAGGAACGACACACTAAGTAGCTGACACTTCCCAACAAGGAAACCACTTGTGACCTCGGCCACAAAGCCTCTATGCAATGACGCACTGAGCATGATGTCTGCCTCGGCCACAATTGACTTCCCTCTTTTACGCTAAGGCAAAGAGTTCAAAGACTTTGATACGAATGACTCATGGTTTTGGCATTAGCCTAAAGGACTCTAATACGGAACATCCTCACGAAAAGACTAAGTAAATAACACTTTCAAAATAAAGAATTACTTTATTAAAGGATAGCAAGTTTCTTTACAAAGATGCCTCGTCGGGGGAGGCATTAGTCCTTTGCACATAACAAAGAATAAGAAGAGAAAAGAAGTAAGAGAGAACATCTTTTGGCAAGAAACTTAAGTTACATTTACTCAAGTGTCTTTACAAAAAAAGCCTCTTATAGGGGAGGCGTCAGCCCCTTACAAAAAAGAAAAAAAAATATATATATATATACAAGTTTTAGGGGCATGCAAGCCCAAACAAAAGAAAACAAGAAAAAGAATTGGTTTTTAACTGAAATAACCAAAAATAGAATAACAAATTTTGATTTCGGTTATTTCGGTTTTCTTATAATTCGGTTTTGGTTCAGTTTTCATTTTTTTTTATTTTGGTTTATTCAGTTTGGTTTTTAACATAACCCTACACATGCCTATCAATCTACCTTACTATCCTTTTAGTTTAATGGGTCGAGTTAAACGATAAACCTGCTTAGGGTCGGATTAGGGTTAGATTAATTCTAGTGTGGGTTTGGGACCTTTGGGTTTGGGTATTGAATCGATAACCCGAGTTGGGTTCAGGTTTGATCGATACTACTGATTGACCCACCCCATCAAGTTTAATTTCATTTTATTATTTCATATAAAATAATTATATACATCAACATTTATACATAATAAAATTTTAAGATTTTGTTTTTAATTTTTTATCTATATTGTTAATTTAGTTTAACTTTTTTTTTATTTTTTTTTTCAATTTTTCTAAAATAACTATGTCTCCCACGGCCCGACCCGGCATGGGCTCACTTGGGCTCGTACCATAGGCTGTGCCAAGCTTCCTTTTTGAGGGGTTCTGGGCCAGGTAGGCATAGCCCACCCAGGCCCGCATGCTGGCTGAACAGATCCGCTATAGTGTGGGCAACCAGAAAAAAGCATGACCAACATTGCACCTATACTTGTAATTTGTTATTAATTTTGATCCCATAGCATTAAATTTTAGGGTTTTTTCATATTTATTTTGGTTTTTAGAAATTAAACCTAGTAACCTAATAGGAAGGTGGTAGCTGGATCAGCTGGTAAAATCACTGGAGTCTAGAGGTAGAATTCAATTAGGTGAATGATATGAATGAGATTTATAGTGACCCATTATGTAAAGATGCCAGCTGCCTCATCTGGTAAAGTCTATTGATGCAATTCAAACTGACCTGGGAGGGCTCCCCATAGAGGGCGCCTGATAAACGCCCCACATGCACTTCTTAGCGTGCATTGGAAACATCTCCCGAAGTTGTCATTGGGAGAAATTACTAATACACGATTGGGATATTTTGTGGGGCATTTGTGAGGCGCCAAGGTTTAAAATTTCGATATGATACGTCCGATACGAGGTGTATTGTATCTTTGAAAAATAGATACGGGATACGCATGGAAATTAGACATTTTGTCTTTTTTCATGCATATCAGACCCGTATTGGGGTGTATCGGGGTGTATTGGTAGCATATCGACGAAAAAGATACGACAAAAAACTAAAAAAAAATTAAAGGGGGAAAACAAGCTTCTTTTCCCTAAAATAAGCCTTCTTTCACCCCAAGTGATTCTAAAACTCCAAACTTTATTCCAAAGTGTTAGATTTGCAAAAGTTTGCAAAAACAATTGTGAATCGTTAATTTTTTTTAAAGATTTTTCAAAATTTGAAAAAATATGGCGAAAATAGGTTTTTCTTTTTCAAATTTTTTATAATATCTTGCGATTTATTTATTTTTCTTGAATGTTTAAATTTATGTTGATCTACATTTCTTACATTCAAAATCACAAATTTTTTTTGTGTTAATCAGTAGATTTATGAAAATTTCATGAAGATATTTGGGGAAAATATAAATTAACAAAAAATTTGAAAATGTAATTTTTTCTCTGCCTATAAAGGCTAAATATGTTTTAGATCTATGAATTTATCTATCATATCTATAGATCAATTGAAATTTCTTCTTTAATAATTATAATTTTTTATTTTTATATTTTTAGAATTAAAAAATAAATAAATAATTAATTATATTTTATCATTTGATCACAGTGATTGAATATATTATAATTCTATGGATGATCTATCATATCAACAAAGCAATTGAAATTTCTTCTTTAATAAATATTTTTTGAATATATTATATAATGTTTATTTATTTTTTATAATTTTTGGAAATGAATAATAAATAATAAATAATCATTAATTATATTTTCACATAAAAGTTGTGCCAATGCATTTTTTATAGTTGGATAGGAGAGTTGGGTTTTTCCCATCCCATAAAACATTAAAACTTAAGAGTTATAATTTATAAATTATAGTTAAACATAAGATTTTTAATGAAATGATAATTAGTTACAATATATTTCTTCATAAAACCATTAAAATATATTAATTTAATGTATATATACCTCATTGAAGTCTTATATTTAGTGTTGTTGATGTATTTTTATGATTTATTAAAGTATTTATAGTATTTTCAAGCGTAACTTATTTCTTTTTCAATACGCATGCGTATCCCGATACGTTTCTTAAATTCTCTGATACTTTGAATCTTGTAGAGCAAAGATGTAAATTCTTTCGGGATTTGCTCAAGCACCAACCTTACATCAAATTTCACTGTGTATTGAAAACATATTTCTATGAATAATAATACACAAGTATACGAGATGTTCCCGATGTGTAGCTGGAACGTGCTATGAGGTTAATGTGAAGAACCCAGATTTCCTACTCACTTTTTCTCTCCACTCTCTACCGGTCGTGAATATGAGTAGGAAATCCCGTGTGTAGCGTGAGACGCCTTCAGTGAGGAGAAGATTTGGACTATTTTTTTTTTTCTTTTGCTCCTTCAATGACGAATAAATGCATTCTTATTGGTCCAAGTCAGCAGAGAAACCGTGTCAGATTAATAAAACAGGACAGCTTCAATTCAACGGATTTTACAGTCATTATCTCCTCTTTGATCTCATCTTCTTCAAACAAAATAACCAAACCTTAGAACTTTATTCATTATCTTCCTCCAAAATCTTGATAGATTTCTATTCTTTGTCTTCTTCCCAACCAAAACAAATCAACTCCATTTCAGTCTTCTCCATAAGAATCTAAAGATATACAGAAGAATCAAAGGATATACAAGCATAGGAACCCACGAAACTGATAAAAAAGGAATGGCGCCCAAGAAACATAAATACAATAAGTCAGAGTGCAATCAATATTGAGCGCAAAAAGATAATAGATTCCAAATGTCCGCCCAGATGTGTGCAAGTGGTGTCTTGGAGTCCTCAGTAATTGATCTGCCTTGCATAATAGCTTTTGAAGCTAAGGCTATGTTTGATTGCAGTGCAATTTTATTTACACCAGTACAAATGTATGGGAGTGCAAATAAAAAAATGTAAATTCTTGTTTAATTTTGTTTTAACTTTTATTTTATTTTGCTTGTATCTTAATTTACTTTATTTGTACTATTATCAAATAAAATAAGCTAAAATTTGAAACAAAAATAGATCAGAATATACACTCAAATCATTTACACTGCCATGGTTTTTCATCAGTGCAAATTTATTTGCATTGCAACCAAACACAACCTAAAGCTCAGTTTGAAAAACGTACAAATACAAATATATACAAATATACACAAAATATAAGATTTTACACTCTACATATTTGCATTTGTACGCCTTCCAAATGGAGCCTAACAGAGAGAATTAGCTATTAAAATTTCCTCATTCAACCAAGATTGTAAAGGAATACTTGGATGACCAGCCACAAACCTTGAATTGTGAATGCCAAAGCGATTGGCCAAAAAGATTAGGTCTTCTTCCTTACAATCTCCTCTTCACACTCAATTAATGCGTAGGATATGCAGGTGACTTGATGGAGAGGCAAATGCAGGAATAGCGTGAGGAGTTTGAGATAAAGTTGCTTTCATTAAGAAGAAAGAAAATGAACTGAGTTAAAGCTCTAGCTGGGATGCAACTCAAGCAGGTTGGGTCGGGTTAAAGGTCAACTCAGGTCCAACCCTAAAGGTGCAAACCTCAGTTTCAGCCTCACCCAACCCACCAAGTTTATCAATCTAGTCTCAACTCCGAACTTAGTCCAACACAACTCAGGTTGGATCGAGACTGGGCTTAGTTAGGTTGAATGGGTTCAAAAGAGTTTATGAATACATTTTATATGATCATTTTCATTGAACTTTGTGGCCCAATTTAAGAGTATAATTGATTGAAAATATGTATAATTTTCATTCAAAAATGAACATATACATGTTATATATACATTATACAAAGTATATAACTAGAAAAAGATTGTCTTAAATGAATATAGTGTGTATATGTTCCTTCAAAAAAATATAATGCCTGTATGCATGTATTTGTTCGGGCATGCTTTGATTGGGTTGGGACTTGGGATGGGCTAGGGTTGGTCTTAGGCTACCTGAGGCTTCAACCTAAGCTGAACCCAAGTTTAAGCCAGGCCCAAGTCCAGCCTGCAACCCAAAAATGGAGGCCCAACCTGTGCAAAAACTTGGGTTGGGTTTGATTGGGCTCGGGTTAGGCCCACCCAAATTGCACCCCCTATATTTTAGTTATGGGTATTGTGGTTTGAGAAGATGGGGTTGGCGGGTAGTAGGGAAATGACAACGGCTGAAACTCATCTCCGTTAATTGAAGTTGTCCCGCTTTACTAAACTGGTGTGGCTTCTCTGATGACTTGGACCAATAAAGATGCGTGGAAGGACACAATCCTCCTTGATGGGAGGAGCAAAGAACTCGACTTGGGTCAAATGCCGCCTTCATCCACCAAAAGGATGTGATGAATTGGTGGCGAGTCTGGTGACCTTGAATCTTGAGCTCTTGGCTAGTTGCTATTTGCTATTAGTTAAGGTCATGCTTGGCATTGATGTCATTTTCTGAGAAAACGGTGTCATGTAAGTGCCACATTAGAGAAAATGATGCTTCAAACAATGCCCTCTTGTTTGGTGCCGTTTTTTCAGAAAAAAAATGTTGCTGCAGACCACACCTTTGTAAATTGGAAAAGTATGGTCTGAAGTAATACCTAATTCGATTTTTTTTTTCTGAAAAAACAGCGCATTGCTGCCAGCGGTGCAATAATGTTGCATCATCTTGGACGTTGGATAATATAGATCAATGTTGAAAATATTGTTACCAGTACTGGTACCAAACAAAACCAGTATTGTTTTCTCAGAAAATGCCTATATATCAGCATTGGTTCCAAACAAAAAATAAACACCATTTTTTAAAAAACGATACATACAACTCCACATGCCCAGCACCGATGCCAAACACCTACTAAGTTTTTTTTTTTTTTGATAAGAAGCTAATAGTGAAGTTAATACCAAGCATTTGTGAGCCCCATGGCTGAGTTAACCTCCAAAAATGGCTAATACTCCAATAGCCCTCGCATCATCTCCCTCTCCCCTATCACCTCCCTCCTTTGCTAAAATATCAATTGGCCTTTGGCACCACATTTACTGAAATAAAAAAGAGAGACAAATAAGAAAGAACCAAACCCAAGTCACTTGAGCTTTGGTTCTGTTGGAGGCAATAATGACGCCCATCCAATAGCACACCAAACATTTTCAGACACTTCCCAGCCAAAGAAAAATGTTCACTGGTCTCTACTCTTTAGGATATCACAGCATTAGATATAAGTGAGACAAGGAGTACGAAGCCACCAACATGTCCATAACTAGATAGGCCGTCCCAAAGCTTTGTTTTTTGGTAGAAAAGGAATTTCATTAACCACAAAGGAGAGAACAAACACTACAAAGAAAACTAACAAAGTCTGGAGTAATCCCAGAGTAACAGATTAGAAAGAGCTAAAGGAACAACAAAACTAGAAACAAAATGAAAAGAAAAACCACACTTGGCCGCTCCATGAGCTACCCTATTCGCATCTCTTGAACATAACTGAAAAGAGAACCTTCTTCTAGTTGCCACTTCTAAGATATCCCTGCAACAAAAAACTATATCTGGATCTGCTCCCAGCCTCCCATACCATTTCGAATACAAGCATTCACAAGATTTACACAGCTTCCAACAAAGCTTTTGCCTCCGCCACAAGAGGAGAAGATGCGTTAACATCTCCAAAACCTGCTGCCCAACATCCCTGATAATTGCACAAAACAAAACCAGAAGAAGCTTTCTTTGATGACAAAAAACCTGCATCAGTATTCATTTTCAAAGGACCTTCATCAGGGGCCTTCCATCACGATGCTTCATTCTTCGATCTAGATTTGGAAGATCTTCCCAATCTCTGCTTTTGTCGATACACAAAAAGGGCTTAAGTTTTCCTTCTCAAAAAATAATAGATTTCTATCTTTCCAGATTTTCCATAAAATGATGGCCATAGCTATCACTTCTTTGTTAGCAGCCCCAAGAGTAGAAAAGATGGTATTAAGCCACTCTCCAAAAGAAGAGCAAATTCTACCAAATTCTGGATTGATACCTGAACTCGAGCCCAGCCAAATGCACTTCACTTTGTCACACAGGAGGGCATGAAGAGGTGTTTCAGACTCTTTCTCACATCTTTCGCAGATGTCAAAGTCAGGTTCGCATCCGCCCCCCACTGGTTTGCACCCCAAAAACATCCCACGGATTCAGTCATGGTTTAAAGTATCGATACGATGCATCCCGTACAGGCGTATCGTATCGTATCTTTTGAAAAAGATACGATCCAAAATGCCTGTTTTCAAGTGTTTCGGACCCCCAACTTTTTTTAATAATAAAAAACATATTTTAAGATTCCCAAAATTTGAAAAAAAAAACGAAAAAAAAAAATGTTTCAACCGTTTCTAAGTACCGATACAATATGGCCGATATGCGTATCCTACCGTACTTTGAACCTTGCTCACAGCTCTCCATGATCGGACAAATTTTCTTCATTCTTTAACCGCTCTACCAGCACAAGCTAGAAAAAAACCTTCGCTTCCCCTCACAGAACACTCGTCCCCTCGCGGAACACTTCAGCCGTCCCAAAGCTGGAGATGACTGAAATGCAATTAGTAGTTAGAGCATACATGTCAGATTGGTGCAACTTTAACAACTTAATTCTTCGATCAGAGGTACAAGTGAAAACTTGGTATTCCCCTCACAGAACACTCTTCAGCCGTCCCAAAACTGGAGATGACTTAAAATGCAATTAGTAGTTAGAACATACATGTCAGATTGGTGCAACTTCAACAACTTAATTCTTCGATCAGAGGTACAAGTGAAAACTTGGTATAAGCAGAAGTTTCCTTCTCTTGTTTAACAAATTTAGAACAAATCATTTCTAGAAAATGACGACCAAGAAATATAAAATAAATTATAGACATCAAACTCACGCACATTTCCCCATACTAGCAATCTTATTTTAATTTGTTGAGCAAGTCACATGGTTGTCTCCTGCTCACAACAGACAATAAAAACAAATATAACAGTGTCTGTCTACAGCATAGAAAATAATAGTAGTAGTGTCTAACTGTCTAAGAGAGAGTATAGACAAAGTGTAGCGTGTGGGCAAAACAGGATTATCTTAGGCTCCTCAACGGCCCATTGTCTGTTCCATCGGAGGGATCATAACCAAGATAGGCCGACCATTGAACCCAGGATGGGGCAGCCTACGGCGGAGTTCTCGCCCTTCCTGGCAAAGGGAACAAGTGTGGCAGAAGAAGTGAGTTGCAAAGTCACATGCCGATTCGCATTGCTCACGTTGCACTTCATCCTCCATGACACCCCTGCAGCACCCACATGACCTAGATAGTGCTTCGCAGCTGCCCTGTTCTCGTCATGACCAAGAGGGAGAATAAGAGTCAAATAATATAAGTGGATAGCTCAACTTCACAATCCACACCTTCACCTTCTTTTTATTTTTTATCAATAATTTAAACAAAGAGTATTAGTTATGCAGAATCTGTTATTAGCTACCACACCAATTTTATCACAAATCTTGCAGTGAATATCGATGAAAACCTAAAATTGATGGTGCATAATACAATGTGCATCTGGGTCTAAATTATACGGCATGATTCAGAATTAAAATGGGACCAACATCATTATAAGTATTGGAACCTAATATGCACATAGTAATTCTTTTTTTTTTCAACTCTTAAAAAGTCTTCAGTGTGAGTTTTTTAGTTGACTTTGGAAACTAAACTAGATTCAGCTTGTGGCTAAAGGATACAAGTTACCTATTTAAATTTAACAACGTACTGACTACAAGAAAACTATAGGTACTCATTTTGTTTGGGATCCATAATCCACTTGGCAAGTCTTTACCTAACAGGGATAGCGATGGGCTATCCCTGTTGTATAGCGCCGTGAAGACAAAAAGAAAAAGAAATACAAAATTATTTTTTTTAAATTTGAGCTAGCTTTCTAGTCTGATTAGGAAACACCATAATTTTAAAGCAAGAGGGGGGGGGGGCTGGGCACTCTATATCTAAGTCCTTTTTCTGACCGGGAAGCCTAGCTACATGTTTGAAGGAGCCCTCCTCTATATATATAGTAGACTAGTTAAATGATCCCATACTCAGGGACGCTATACATACCTATTTTGTCTGAGACTCACTATCCAATAAGTGGATCCTAAGCATTTAAGATGGGTTTTTTTTTATTTAATTTAGGAGATTAAATCAGGTTTGATTTTAATCAAACAAACCACTTTATCTAGAAGAACAGAAGTCACACCAAAATAACATCCTGAAAACTTTTATGACAAGTTTTTTTTTTTAATGGGAAATGATAACTTTCATTAAAAATAATGGATAAAGATTACAACTGCCACCATCCAAGGGCCGGATGGAGAATCCTTTGACAAAAACTGTCTCATAAACAGGCCCAAAACAACTCTTGCCTATTGACAAAATAATGGATAAAGATTACAACTGGGAAATGGTAACTTTCATTAAAAATAATGAATAAAGATTACAACTGCCACCGTCCAAGGGCCGGATGGAGAACCCTTTGACAAAAACTGTCTCATAAACAGGCCCAAAACAACTCTTGCCTATTGACTCCTTGCTTTGCTAAAGCATCAGCCATACCATTTGCTGATCTTCTTGCCCAATTAAACCTTACCCCAATCTCCCTTGCTAAGCTTGAGATTTCACTTAGCTGTTGTCTGAAAAGCCACATGCCCAAGCTTCTAGTTTGCAGCCAGCCTATTACCAGTTTGGAGTCTCCCTCCACTTCTAACTGTTGCATTCCCCATTGCTTTGCCAATCTGAGACCTTGGAGTAAAGCAAAGACTTCTGCCCTTGGGGAGTCTCCCACCCTTACAGGGCCAGCACCCAGCACTCTACCCCCTCATCTCTGAAAACACCCCCTATATCCAAGGGGCCTGGGTTGCCTAGAGAGCTTCTGTCTAGGGGTGTCAACGGTATTCGAAAATCCAATTTCGAATTCAAGATTCAACATTATCGAATAGAATTCGGATCATTCGAATATTTAACCGGTCAAATTCAGATATCCTATTCATACCGAATAGCTAATTGGATTCGAATTTGGATATGACTTGATTCAATTCGATAAATATCCGAATTCGATCGATTATTTTATTCTTATATATAATATATAAAATTTTTAAATGTTTTATATAATTTATATATATAATAATTAAATTATATAAATAACTTATATATTTATATACTTTATATAAATAAAATATTTATTAATTACCTGAAATAATTAATTAGTAGAATTCAAATTGAATCAAATTTTCAAATATTTAATTGGATTCGAATTTGAATATTGATTTCGAATCGGATTTGGATATTGAATTCTTTTAATTGGATTCGAATTCAGATATTACCTGATCAGATTCTAATTTGATCCGTTTCTAACATGAGTTAGGAAACAATACAATTTTTAAGTAGGCTCTCCACATTGTGCATCACTGCTACCCTAACCCAATTGATCCACTAACTAGAGGTCTAGCGTAGGGGTGAGCAAACGGTTTATTCGATTAAAAAATGAACCGAATAAACCAAAATTTTAAATGAAAAAATGAACCAAAACCAAAATTTTTGGTTGGAACCTAATTTCAACACTATATATATTATACAATGTATATAACAAATAATATATTTCAATACATAATATAAAACAATATAATATATTTTATACATATTATATATGTATTATATGTTAATATATATATATATATATATATATATTATAGACAATAAAGTTTGGTTAATCCGGTTTTTTGGTTAACCAAATTTCTAAACCTAAAAACCGAAACTGAAACCGAATAATGCTCACCCTTGCCATAACACTTTGCAATACCCAAAAGAGAGTTGTCTCCACTTCCAAGCATGGGGGGCCAAGTCATAGTGATGACTCCTAATGCACATGACTCCACCAAGTCAATTTTCACCAACTCCTTCCCATGATTTATTTATTTTTATTTCTTTTGAAGTTGAAGGGGTACACAACTGGGGTAGCCCATCCCCCAACCTAATAACCCCCCCCCNCCAAATCCATGTGCAGGCAGGATTCAATCCCAAGTCTCCACTATGACCAGCAGGCAGCTGGCACCTTGCATGATTTATCGTTTTTTTTGCTATAGAAGTCACGCAGGATTAGTGAAAAAAATCCTAATAGGTCAATTAGGAAGGCTCCATAGATAAATAAACTAGTGGAAGAACCTTTTGGCCTATCTGAATTGCCCATCAGAGGACCTCAGCATTGACTATGTACATAAACCCATATAGCCTACTTTCTATTGGAGTTTTACCCTATTGATATAAGCTACCCAAGTTATAAATTTGTATTTGTGGTTACAAGCATAAACCCATGATAAACATAATGTGACATTATAATTTATAGAATTCTAAATAGTAACATGATTCCCCGAGCCAACTCCACTCCTGGTGTTGCCAAGCTAAGTTAAGAAAAAATCCTACTCCAGTTATTCAGGTTTCCCCGAGCCAACTCCACTCCTGGTGTTGACATTATAATTTTTTAGACTTCCCAGTTAAAAAAAAAAAAAAATCCTACTCCATTCATTCAGGTTTCCTCTAACTTGTTAAACACTGAATTGGTAATCTAAAAAAATATTGTCCTACTCTATAAATTCAGTTTTCCTCTCACTTACTGAAAACCAATTTGGTAACAATTTTTAGCAGTGCCCCATGTAGACAACCAGTGGCAATTAAGTGTAATTCAATGCCAAGAATCTACAATCTTCCACATCAAACTGGGATCACAAGAGTAATGCTAGCTGGCAAGGGACCAGTGGTCAGGACTGAATCATGCCATCCAAAAACATTAGAATCTATAATTTTTAAAATAAACCTGTGTGGAGCTTCTAATATTATTTTTTTGCATTTTTTATTTTAGTGAGATGAACAATCAAACCAGAAATTTGAACTATTAACCCATGACTAAGTGACCATAACAGTTTCAGGTCTGATCCAAGTCTTACAAATTTGAATTTTTTCATGAATAGAGACAATAATGACATACTAATTTGCATGGAAAACAAAGATGCTACCATATATTTCTGCTCCATCTCACTCCTAGCAGATTTTCTGTTGTTTTTTCATATTAAATATGGATTCTGAGTTATCTAGTTAACCATGCATAATGCAAATAAAACAGCATAATAATCCATATTAACCAGATACACAATTATATTATGCAATCAAAGACTTTTAACATGGTGGCTGGTGCAGGTATCATGGTCTTAAAGTTAAAACAATTCAAAAACGATCATCAATTACATAATCTGGAGAGTTGTTTTGCAACAATCAAATGGTTCAAAGAAAATAAATAAAATAAAAACTGAAGCAAGCAACATATTGTAATCATTAGCAAGATCAAACATAACTTAGGCAAATAAAGAAAACAAATTTCATTTCTAGATCAACATATAACTTTTATAAAAGAAATTAACATAAAAACTGAATGGTTGACAAGAATTATCGCTCCATAAAAAAGTTGGAGAATCTTACCTCAAGGTTGAATTTCTTACGAATAGCTGTGCGGCTAGGATAAGAAAACCATGGTGCCAGGAAATTCCAACCAAAAAGGGAACTCCCAAGCAGGTAAAGACCAGTGTAAGCCAGGCAATGATTTGCAAAAGTCCCTGGACCAGATCCTAGTCTCTCCACATTACTTCCATATAGCATACAAGGGGCAAAGCTTCCAAGAAGACCTGATCATATGATCATTCTTGTTAGAATATAAGTGACCAAGAAGAATATACCTGAAGGTGCTAACAAGACAAATAAGACTGGATGCTAAAACATTTTAGAAGCTGGAAAAGCTTAAATTTTAAGAGGCAAATGGAAAATAATAGCTTCTCCACCCATTATCTTTAAAAGTTATAAATATAAACTAAATAAACCCTAAAAAAATAATCTGCTACAATAAGACTACACAAACATCGAAATGCACACATTGGTAGTATATACATATAAATAGTCACAACACTGGATCTTTTATTATTTTTTGTCATCACATCCTGACTTTTGATTTTCTTTTCAAATAACCATATCAGGATATGGAGGTAGCAAATTTTTTTTTCATTTCCTTTTGGGGGCTACACAACAGTTTGTAGCCCATCCCCAACCCATAACCCCCCAACCCAGGTGTAGGCGGGATTCGATCCCAAGTCTCCGCTACAACCAGCAGGAGACCTTACCGACCAGCTGGTTGGCACCTTGCAGGATATGGAGGTAGAAATGCCAACAAGGTGAACACCATACAGGATACAAATATAGGATAAATTATGCAATAGTTTATTAAAATTGACCATTTATTCTGATGACTCAAGTCCATTGGCTCTGGATCATTGGCACTGTGGATTGCATATTTGGGACCTAAATTAAGAAAAAAAAAATCTCCCTTGGGCTTAGGTGAGAATTATGCTAGCTTAGGTACAATATTATCGATGTGGTGAGGTAATGACTAGTTCTTTTGCCCTCTCTAGTTGATATGATGACTAGCCTAGACACTGACTAGTTGATGGAAAAAAAGATATGTTCTAAATTTAAGATATTGACACAGCCTCATCAGTGATTTAAAAGGCGCACCTAGGCGCACAGGCAAGGCGCATTTCAGGGTATGCGCCTCGCCTAGGTCCTAGGCACAGTCCTTTCAAATGCGCCTTGCGCCTAGGCCCAGGCATGCGCTTTTTGAAAATTGATGCTTTTTTGCCTTTTTTGAACATAGCGGCTGGGCTGGTGGCTTCGCCCCCGTGCCACACCCCTCAAGGCAAGCCTAAACAAGTCAAAGCTCCGAGAACCCCCAATTTGGTAATGTTGTTCATTCATTCATCTTAATAAAATGTCTTCTTAAAAACACTATAAAATCATTATTTTTTTGTGTAAACTAAGAATTTAAGAGCTAATGTGGACTTGTTTAGGCTTGCCCCAAGGGGCGTGGCACAAAGGCGGCTTGTAGAATCATGAATGTAATATGTTTTACATTACATTAGCTACATGAAGTAATGCAATTGAGTGAAAAAAGAGATTAGAGGTTTTAAATGCTTGAAAATGTTTTATATGTTTGATTTTATTTTTAAATTCTCATTTGAATATGCTTTACATAATTACATCTTATGTTTATGTATTTTAATTTTAGATAATAGGTTTTTTAAAACATTATTTTAGAATTTAAGTTTATATTTTTATTAATATTATGTTCAGTATTTTTTATTTTTGGCTTTTCTTTGAATTTTCTGACATTTTTTTTTATAATTTTGCGCCTTGCTTCAAAAAGGTGCGCACCTCGCCTTACGCCTCAGACGCAAATTGACCCCTGCGCCTTGCACTTTTAAAACACTGAGCCTCATAAATAAGTTAATAGATAACGGCTATGCATTAAAAGAATGGCATTGAACATTTAGTTTACAGTCTTTGTTTTGAAAACATTAAAAAAAGGTTAGGCTGGATAAGTTAGGGTAGGGAATTGCAGCCTTTATTTTCCAAAGAAAGAGTGCTACTTGACTATTTTATGTGCCCTTTGTTTGTGTCTTTGTGGCAACTCTGTACCAAAAGACCACAACTTAAAATAACTCCATTGCTTTCTTTTGTTTTATGCCTTTTTTTCTATTTTACGTACCATCAGCCAATTATATTCCATCACAAATATTTCAAACAACAGCATGAATATAACAAAATACAAGCATATTCTATATCATTTCAAATAATTAGAAATACAAGCAAACCAATAATGCTTTATAATAACTTTATGGTTCATTAAGTTGATTAGCCATTGATCTCTAGGTGCTCAATCGTCCTAGGGTACTGCATTATGAGTAATGGACTGACTGGTTAGTGATGCAATCAGTCTGGGTCTCAACTGCTTATGTATACTGGATCTGAATTCGGATGAGTGCAATGCAAGGGTCATGAACCAGAGCCTGGACAAGAAAATTCAGCTTGGCTCAGTTCATTCAGTGCCCTAACTGAGAAGTTTCCACTTTTCTTTTATCAATAACAAGTAGCTTAATTAAAAACTAAGAAACTTTTAAGTACAAGAAAGGGGGAGGTAAACTGTCCTAACTCCCTATTCACCCCTTGCTTGGCTAACCCGTCAGAAAGTAAGTTAGCAGTTCTCTTCACCCAACTGTATTTCATCTCATTGTCCCTAGTTAGCCATTTAAATTTTTTCCTTTCATTTCTGTAGTTCCACAACCAATGTTGTCTTCCTTTAGCCATTTCACCACCACCTCGAGTCACCTTCGAGTACCCTTCTGATGTTCAACAAATCTCTTGCTCTTTGGAATCCTTCCAAAGCCACAAAGACCTCAGCCCTGAGAGAGTCACCTTCTCCAATTGGGCCTGAGAACATGGATAGGATAAACCCTTCCCCATTCCTGAACACTCCCCCAATACCAGATAACCCTGGATTCCTTATGCTACTGCCGTCAAAATTCAGTTTTATGAATCCAGAGGGGAGAGAGGTCCAAGAAGGACTTGGGACCCTCTTAATCTGGGCAGAGTTAGCTATCTCTTTTCAATTTCTCAGCAGGCCATCCAAGGAAAAATTTGTGAATAGGTCCAGGGATTTCAGCCAATGTGCCACCCTTATGTGGATCAATTCTATTATGTTATCAATGCTTCTCTGCTTGTCTGAGAAGATTCGTGAATTTCTTTCTTCCCAATAAAGACCAACATACTGCCGCCCTAATGCATCTCCACATGATCCTTCCTCTTTTCATTGGCAACTAAGGGTTTCCACTTAGCAGAAGTGAAAACAAAATTCATAAAATCATGATGTGATTGAAGTTATGCTTTATGCAAAAGGATGCACAAGGCATTGATATTAGAATGCTGACAAACAGGTAATTTATTCAGTCCAGAATTATGAAGTTTGAGGTAAGTAATTCGTATAGGATCCTTTTACTCGGCTAAAGAGAGACAACGTGTTCAGCATATCTACATCCTTATCTTTCTCATACTTATCATCAAGACAATTTGGAAAAAGAGAACAGGTAACACACTAGAGCCACCAACTTCTAATTACTGGTTTTTCTCTTTTTTATTTTGGAAATTAGTGCCGCTCAGCATGCGAAAAAAACTCAATTATGAAATTTATGGGCTTACGGACACTAGAGTTTCCCCGCATAAAATTACAAGAGAATAGGCTCATAAATTTCCCTACACCCTAAATTAAATCTTCTGTCAACTCTGGAACTATGAACAACATAAAAACGTAACCGCGGAAAAAAAATACCCTAAATCTATAATACATAACAGAAATCACTATGACCAAGAAAGCCTCTCCGTAATTTAATCACAGAAACTAAGTAAAAAAAAAAAAAAAACAATATAGTAGATCAATCGGAACTGCGGAAACTTACAGACTTCGAGATCACTGCTACAGAACTCATCATTCCGCCCAAGACAAGCGAAAAGAGAGGAGTCCCAACGAGCACGAGCCACCGGTTCACCGACCACGCTTCCATGCCCTAACGGCAAACCATCGACAGTCCATTCGGCACTCCCACCGCAGCTGTGTCCAGATTCCGTCGCTGAACGTTTCTCGTCGTGCTTGGCATTTCCCTCTCCGTCGCCTTGTTTAATCAAAAGAGGGCTTGATTCTTCTGGATTCGCCATTGAAGCAAGCCCCAACGCCTAACGGATGCAGAGATAAAAGAACGAAGAAGGGGAAAAAGAAAAAGGAAATGATTACAGATCGAGAGTCGATACCCCTGCAATGGTGGCAATTACAGATTACAGGTGAAAAAAATGAACGAGCCTATCAATTTCGGTGCTAATTAATAAGCGTAGGCCAACTGGACAAGTAGGTAACTAGTTTCAAGTCTCACAGACTCTCACTGCAGCTGTCCACTACGACGGATCCTGTCAACCGTCTGATGTTTCTGAGAAAGCCTTTTTAACAGACACATGCAGTTATCTCATTGGACGTCGATCGAATTTTCTGTACATCCTCTAACTACACTACAGAGTCCTGACCGATAACGTGATCCATCCTGTCCGTCAGTCATAGTGGACCCCAGTAGTTTGGTAAAAGATTAAGGGGGAAAGGAGATGGATAGCTACGATTTGTGACTCGTGAGTCGTGATGTAACTCTACCCGCAGCTGCAACGTGGCCAAAGTAGGAATAATCCTTTTAAGATATTATATATGTATTTTGCATTTTTTTGGTAATCATGTCTTACATTATTTATGGCATATGTCTATCATACCGCAAATAAATCGTATCTGAGAAACTTGTGATCAATCGACCCGTATCATAAATGTATTAACCAAATAGCTGGTATTTATCGAAAATTAATGGGTGGATTTTGATCGGTAAAGCTCTTTTGGTATCATCTCTCTATGATATCATAATATATATAAAATTTTACAATATATTTGCCATGCCATACATGATATAATTTATTATATACAATAAATTTTTAAATAAATATATCTTTTAATCTTGATTATATAAGTGATATTAATTTTTGCCAAACAAGAAAAATGTTATGTTAATTTTTTAAATATAAAGTATTAAGTCATAAGACACAAACATCAGGCTCAGGTCAGGTCTAGGTAGAATTAGTCACAAAATCGATTATTAATTGGGTCAAAATCATAGATCTAAAACCATCCCGATTAATAGTCGAGTCTATTGGGTTCAAATCTGATAGACTCAATTATACTAAAAACTATATTTATTTACTTATTTATTTAAATAATAACTTAAATTTTAGATTTTGATAACATAATCTTAATAAAATGACAGAAAATGTTAAATTATTTATATGTTAATAAATTAAAATAATTGATTTTAACTCCGAATCATTTGAAACAGGCAATAACCGAAACTAACCCAATTATCACTGGGACAAAGTCATAAAACCAAAACCATTATAATAGATTTGACCCATCCGCAGATCCGACCCATTTGGAGGGGAGGCGGGGGTTTTCTCAGTCCTTGTTGCAACAGATCTAGTGTCCTCACATATGGGCGCCTCACAAGCACATTCATCGTGAATTGGGAACATCTCCCGTGATTAATAACTAAATACGAGAGATGTTGATGTGCGTATAAGATTGGTGTGAGGCGCCCTGTGTAAGGAGCAGATCTATAATCTAGTACCTTCCAGGATAATGACCGTCGACATGGAGACATTGTTTATGTATTGCTCCAGCCACATATATTTGAATGGAGAGACAAGAAATACAGACTCCTCCCGAGTCCCGAGCCGAGGTAAGTGATTGTTAACCGGATCGACGTTGCATCAAAAGTAGCCATAAAAGTTTCAATTCTCAAGAACTTTCCCAACAGTTGATTGTACACAATGAGACGGAGCGAGGTAGTTGGATGTCTTTCATTCTGAATGGTAATAAAAGAAAAACAGCTCATACTTAAACCCCATTGAATGCTTCGAGTCGTCTCGGCTCTGTCCATACTTGGACAATAAATCTGAATCAAAAGATTCACAACAACAATAAATCAAAATGGGGGATTACATTTCACAAATGAGCTGTCCGGATCCGGAATACGAGTTTTCTTCAGCTAAGAGACTTTGACTCTGAGACTGAGATAATCTCAGGAGTTGTAGCTTAAGAAAGATAAACACTCCAGTCTCCAGAGTTGGGCAATATGTTAGTAATTAAGAAGAGACGCCTAACTACTAGCTCTAGATAAAGGGATCGAAAATTCGAAACTGACGTTTCTGTAGTCGCTCTCTTTGGCGGAATACACCTTGGCTTTGATTGAGTTCCCACTTCCCACCAGGTCTGACCTATTAAATGCGAATGACAACACGAGAGGTGCTGTTTTAATTAATACCCATCATAATCACTCAACCACCAATTGTAATTGTACCGACTGAACCATTCATTCTGTGTGTTTGTGTATGTGTTTTTTCTTGATGAGAGTAGATTATTTAATTTGATGACCCCCCGTAAGACCGGAATGATGCTAGCCATTACATGGGCACCGCCATCACAAGAGGGAATTACCGATACATTCGGGCCCATATGACCCTGAACCAGAATGTCTGGATTCTGGAATCGCGCGTTATATCAATAATAAATTATAATTTTGTTTTATTTTTTAAGGAATTTTGTCACACCGGAGATTTTATCAAAGATGCTGATGGTTTGAGCCAGCATTCCCCCTTACACAAGACGGTTGCTTGGGCTGTATTTAGATGCGATGTAAATCAAGAATCGATATAAAATTTACATAGATTTATTTTTGTACGCGTTTGATAAACAAGTATAATTATTATTGATGTAAAACCATACTCCGGTTCAGTTTTGTGTGTGTTTGGATAGAGTGTAGTTTTACATCAATGATAGATGTAAAACCTCATCACATTTAAAAATGATGTAAAAACTACGTCTATTTTATCGATGTAAAACTTAAACAACTTTTTACATTGATTTCAAAATACAACGGTCATATATATTTAAAGTTTAGTGTAAAACATCATCATTGTATTTTTACACTGATGACGTTTTACACATTTTCCAAACGCAGCCTTATGCCATGTGAGTTAATTAAAAGCCTTGTATTTTTTAAAGGAAAATGCAAATTGCATTAATAAATAAAATAATGGGTCTTTGGTGGAGTAGTGGAGTCCGGATCTGCTCCTCACAATGTGCGCCTCACACTGACCTCACAGCATGTATTGGCCACATATTGGGAATATCTCATGTTCTTGAATTTATTATTCATGGGAGATGTTTCCATTATAGGGTGGGATGTGGCTGTGAGATCGGTGTGAGGTGCACTATGTGAGGAACAGATCCCAATTCGGAGTAGTGGTGATGGTGGTGATTAGGCCTATTCATGGGACGGGTAGCCTGACGGGCCGGCCCGACCCTTGGACAGGCTTGCACATGGATTTTAGTCTGCAGGCTTGACCTTGAACCTAAAAGCCCGACCTAACTAACCCTTTCCCATTCCCTCTTTTCATCTTCTATCTTCTCTCCTCACTTTCACTCTCAAGAACCGGCACGAACCCAGGTAGACAACCACCGTTCTTAGTCTCAGAGGTGAGCTCAGGCACCGGTTGTCTCTTTCTTCGGCGGTGAGTCCTTTCTCTCTCTCTCTCTCTTGCCACCAATCTTCCCTCTCTCTCACAGTTCTCATTCTCACTCGCACTGCCGCACATTCTCAGTCATCCCTCTCTCCGATGATAAGTCCTGCATTTCAGCCTTTGTTACTCTATAGTATGTAGTCTGTACAAGTTATTAGGTTGGGCTTCAGGCTTTTTATGAGAGCCAGGCTTGGGCCCAAGTTGTAGGCCCATTGGTCGGGCTCGGGCCTAAAAAAATTCTATTAATGAAGAACAAAAGCCCGGCCTGATCCATGAACAGATCTAGTGGTCATATATATATATATATACATGCATGAAAGTATATTGATTGATTAAAAGAAAATTTTACTTAAATAAGCTAAGACAACCCTTATTTTTCCTTGCCGATCCCACCTCCACATGGAGCCTGGATTAACTGAACTTGATGGTATTACAAATAATAATGTTTCATATCAGCCATGCGTGATAAGTTCGAGATTAAGTGGTTGTAGGGCATATACAATTTACGACGACGTGGGACGTTTTTATTGATTATCTCCATCTCTTGACTCATGTAAAGGAAGTCGAGAGATAATAAATCCTTGAAACTTCCACAAGAGATGACTGATATATAAGGCTCAGTTTGAAAGGAATACAAATACAAATATATCCATCGGCACTAAAAGGTTGTCAACTATATGGTTTTCAAAATTGGATCGGATCGGATGGTCAGATCGGAAAAATTAAGAACTAGTTCTGTTTTTTTCAAAATTGTTGATTTTGGTTAATAAACCACTGAACCAGCTGATGAATCGTTTGAATGATTTTGGTCATTTTTTAATTTTTTAATTTTTTGTCAAAATGAACCGACCATTCAAATCGAACAATCAAACCATTCAACCCAGTAATTGGACCCTTAACCGGTTCAGTCGCTAAATCAGTTTTAAAAACCATGGTCAATTATATGCTTGAGCAGCCCACATTCTGATCCCACGCTACTCAATTATATATTATCATCAATGCACATGTATAATAAATAATAGCCTTGAGTTAAGGCGTGGAGAGGGGACTCTGATGGTTCCCCTTCGCCAATAGATATCACTGCTTCGCTTCACCATCAACCGTAGCTTGGAAACCCGTCTTTGTTCCAACTGTTAAAAGGTTATATGCGCATGCGGCATGCATATACCTTTGCTTCAAATAACTTATTAAGGTCAACATTAATTCTCCACTTCTGTTAGTCATATGTGATTTTCATGACTTCCTCCTCTAACCAAATACCAAATATTGATAAAGTGCATTGGGATAAGAAATATAAGGGTCCGTTTGGTTTGCAACTGGAGTTGGAATCGGAATCAGAATGGCCTATTAATATGAATTGAAATCAGCATGAATGAGATTCATTCTAAAGGGAGGGGCAGGGAAGGATTATCCCCTCAAATGGGGGATTGCCATTCCAGTAAGAATGAGAATGGAATTCCGATTCCAGCCAATCAAATAATTGGAATCGGAATAGCCTACTCCTGTGAACCAAACGGGGCCATAAGATTTTAAATGCGCAAGGATATCTCTAAACTAACCTGTTTAGGCTGCATTTGACATTCCTTATTTTAAGGATTTTTTCTATTAAAAACTTGGCATTTATAGACTTCAAATCTCCTGCCCACAAGAACTCTTCCCACATTTACCCACAACACACTACCTCCGTGCATCGGGAACA